ACGGGCCTTACGTCAAAGCCACGTAGCGGGGAGGTGCCGCCCTCCCAGCCGCCACCCAGGGGTGCTACGGAAACGTGGCAGATGTTTTTGGTGGTCGCCATGATTGGGGCTGTATATCCTGTGATACGTGGGACAGGGTACCTCTGACAGGTGGAGCCAGAACCAATGAATTGGAAGAACAGGGAAGCAGCTTCTGGAAGATTTCTAGAGAAACCTTGCTAGCAGTAAGGCTCTTCGACCAGGGAAAGTGATGCCTCTGAAGGTACCAAGAGCTCCAGGCTGGAACCTTTATGAGGGGTCCTGAGGTGGGGCTCTCCCTTTCAGCCACAAGAATCTGAAACTTAACAGGGCTGTTCTGGCCAAAGCAGAAACCCATTCAGTAGGCAACATACTAAAAACAAGAGTCCTAAGTTTCTGTTCTTGGTTTTCCAATTGCTAACACGCTGATTCTTGCAGAGACAACAGCTAACCTGCTGCTCAGTTTAGCAAGGGCTTGGCCGACAAAGGAGGCCCGGAGACGTTATTTGGGTAGAGTTTTTCATAAATGCTGAAACCACAGAACTGTTAATTTCACTGCTAAAAATGTCCCTGTCGATCTCTGAGAGTTGAAGGAAGAGCACTGAAGTAGCAACCAGAGTCACTGTGGTTAAGTTACATCAAACCCTTCTTCCACATCTCTATTTTAGTTCGGGTCATAGCACACTACTCTGCCTGAGCTCCGTGGGCACGACTACTCCTCACACACACAGGCGGACTAATCTCGTGTGTGTTTGCACAGACTCACCAGGCACACTCACGAGCCGCCTGGTCTGATGTGCCCGGGATGTGCTCTTAGGGACAGAAGTGATCTCAGACTCTTCACGTCACCTTGATATTCCTTCCAAAGCAACACTCTGGGGGCCGAGGAACCAGACCTTTTCACAGCGTATCACTTATGGCCACGCAGGCGGAAAGTCTGCAATATCGTTTTCAGAGCCGTTTCACATCCATTATTTTATTCTATGTTATATTATGTTATATATGACAACAACACAGCGAGGAAGACAGAGTGGGGATGACCCTCTCTGTAAGACAGACGTGAACAATGAAGTTCAGAACAGATAGTTTGCTCAAGGTCTCGTAGGAGAAGATGGGGGCAGAAAGTGAACCCAGATCTTCTGACTCCAAATTTTGATTTTATTTATGTATTTTTACCTATTTTCACTATATGTGTGTGTGATGGGGAGGGGGGGGCATACGCCCTTGAGTATAACCTGTGGCCCCAGCACTCACCTGCTGATCCTGAAGCTTGACCCCAACGACTCTGAAGGTGTTGCTGGCAGTGTTGTGGTAGATGTTGATCCGGCTGAATCCCTGCTGGCCAGCTTTGATTGGTACCCATTTCTTACTGGTGTCATCGTAGACCATCACGGAAGCCCGGGCTTGGCAGATACTCTGTTCACTGCAGACCAAGAGAAAACTTAAGCGTCAGCCTCAGCTGTAAGGGTTCTGGAAGCCAGCTTTCCCTTTTCGGAAACGGAGGCCAACCGCTCCTTGACACAAAGAAACTTCCAACTGCCAGGGCTTCCAACTGCCCCCGGAAGGGCTGTTTTCATTCTCCAAAGACCTCGAGGAGTAGAGAGGAAATACTGTGCCAACATTTCCCATAGCTTAGAAAAGACAGCCTTCCCTTCAGGGAAAAAGTGCTTGAATGAGACAGGAATTCCAACCACAACTGTCTACACCATTCCGGTCATGGTGTTAAATAAGACACTGCGTTAAAAGCATCCAAGTGTCACAACGTAGGACGTAGCCATTTGCTGCCCCCATTTTGTAAATGTGCAAAGAGTGGCTCAGAGACTTGGAAAGATTTACACAAATTCACACAGGTATTCAGAGACTAAATCTGGGATTTCCACCCAGTTCTTTTGACTGTAAAGCAGATGACACACATAATATTCTTCACAACATCTAACAATCTAACAAAAGGCTCAACGTCTGACATTATGATAGGGAAGCATCATACAAGCTCTGCGGACAACAACACGATTAGCTGACCTTCTGCAGAACAGAGTGATATAGATGACACTACAAGATGGTCGTACCATACTTTGCTGAAGGCATTTCCCAAGCAGCTTCGTCTGTTAAGAACATGATGGAAAACAGGAGAGCAGCACTAAAAGCCCCGGGAGAGAGAAAGTGGTCATCTACCAAGATCAGTGCACCACAGCTCCTGCCAGGGTGTTGAGAGGGAGGCTCTCTGAGCCCACTGGCCTCTTCATTGGCATATGAGCCCGATAATCTTGGATGCATAGTTTCTCAGTCTCTAGCACGCGAGAATTCCCAAACTGAAAAGGTAAGGCATGCTCCTTACGGTCAGGCACGCCCGTAACAGTGAGGAGTGGCAGTTATCAGCAAAGGAGGGCATATAAATGTAATTTCAGAATTAGAAACAATATTTAAAGCCCAACAATTCGAGGCCCATACAGAAAGAGTTTGCATAATAACAGATAATCATAACGTTGAGACTAAGCAGTCTCAACAAGAAAAAGTCATGTGATGTCCACTTAAGGAGTCAGAGAAGCAAAGTATCTGAAAAAGATCCCTGCCCCCAGCCCCAGTGGTTGGGTGACAAAATAGGGGTTTTTTGGGGGTTGGCCCTCGGTTGACCTGGAAACCTCCACCTGGCCTACACAGTCAGTTCCTAAGTCTCCCAAAGAACTGGGCTTCCCCAGGACCCCGCTCCCCTGTGACTCAGACAGCAGGTGACCTAGTGCACAGACTGATACAATCTTAACAATAATTGTGTGTCCAGGGTACACACAAGCCCTGCCACACGTGCTCCTCTGCTTTGCTTTACATTTGACGACTGTCCAGCCAACGACTTGCTGGGCCAGTGCTGGGTCTCAAACGTCCTGCTGGCCGCCCCCCCCCCCCCCGCTGTGCTCTGGGGTTCAAGAGTCTTGGGTGGGCTTGACCTCGGCCGACCAAGCCGTGTGTTGAGAGCTCTGTGCATGGCCAGGCATATCGGGAGTGAATTGTTCTGCAACGGTGCTGCTTCTTTTCTCCCCAGAAGTCATTCATTCATTCGACAAACATTTCAGGGGGAATCAGTGACGATCAAAACAGGCGTGGTTCCTCCCCACAGACAGCCAGGTTAGGGAGAAAGAAGAAAAGCAAATGGTGCTGGGCTTTGACTTTTCTGAGTCTGGGAGCCTGAGACCGTGTATCTTGCACGAGACTGCACTTAGGAGGAGGAGTGCTCCGGCCCCGTGCTGATGACACCCAGCAGGAGTGAGAGGAAAGAGGACACAGCAGCAGACAGGCCTGGGTTCAGACCATGGTTCCACAGCCACGTGAAGCGAGCGCAGATAAAGTTATGGCCTCAACCGTGTCACTGACCGCTGCTGACACGCTCCGTCGCTGACAGTGAATGCCAAGCAGGTGTGTGTTCCTGATGTGGTCTGGACATACTTCCGCGGTCACAGGGATCTGAGCGGAGACCCCAGCCCTACCGCTTGGTGGCACGGGCCCACGGAAGCCCTTGGGAGGACTCTGGGGAAGCAAATCCGGGAAGGTACTGTGAGGTGGGCCACGCTTTCTAGAATCCCCGTGTAGCCGCCACTCGAGTGTGCCCTGTAGATCTCCTGCTGTGGGAGCGGAGCTGACCCACGGCCCCAGCCTCCGCCGCCCTGGTGCCCCACCAAGGCATACACAGAGGCCACACTTCTCTGGCTGCTCTTCACCAACGACTGACGCGCCAGCTCGCTCCTGCCTGACGTGGGGAATCTTCCAGGGGGGAAACCTTCGCTCGGGGCCCTGCATCGGCCTGAGACGCCTCCCACTAGGCCCTTCTGCCCCTTCTCCTTTCACACCTGCATCACGGCCTGAGGCTCCCCCTGCCTGCTCCCACTCCCTCTGTCCTTCACTGACGGTTCCCCGCGAATCTCTCACACGCTTATCATCCGAAGGGTCTTGGGGTCTGCTTTGTGGAAGACCCAAAGTGACCTGCCCTGCTACAGCACACACAGGGGCATGCCTGCAGGCCCGGAGCCTGGCACACAGCAGGTGCTTAATCAATGCTCCCTGCAGGACCTCAGGGCCTAGAGATGACCTGAGCCACTGTCACGACCAGTGCAGCAGGCCTTCTAAAGCAGCTCTACGTGCAGACGAGGCCTTGAACCGAAACCGCTTGTTGGCGGGAGGCTTATTGTTCCCCAAAGTAGTTTCGGTGGTGAAGGGGTTTTGGCCGTTCGGCAGCCCCCCCCTCGTTCTAAGCGACATTCCCCTCCCTGTGTCCTCCAGAGTCACAGAGGTGTCCTGGACAGCCTGGGATGGTCCACTGGACGGCTGAAGGGACCTCCCCTGTTACTCACGGGACAAAGCCGCAAGCCCCCTTGCCGTCCCCGCTCACTCTCCTCCAGTGACCCCTGCTTTGTCCCGTGTTCCCTCCCTGCCCAGGTCCTACGGCCGGCCGAGTGTCATGTTTTCACATCAGTGTGACAAGCACAGAGGCCAGTGAGTCAAAGGCACTTAGCGATGCGGAGATGAGCAGGGCAGTCCCTGCCCTCAGAGAGCTCTCAGCTACCCGAACACGCGGTGGCTTGTCTCACGCCTCAGCGAGCCTGCAGGGGCTGGGGGGCCTGGAGACTTTCTGTGACTTTCTGAAGACGACGCCCTGTGTGCTGCCCACGAAGGGCCTCAGCCCCAGGCGAGCTCAGGAAGGGGATGTGGGGCTCCGGGCGGGGGAGGCAAACAGCTCGGCCGGCGTGCTATGCAGGGAACTGCAGCTCCTGGGGGCCGGGGCTGGGGGGAGGGGGGACCTGGGGTCACCACATGTCGTTCAGGGTGGCACGGGCAGAAGTGCCCACTACTGTGCTTTGCCCGAGCACGTGCTTACACACCAACAGCTATCTTTCCTGTTGTAATTACAGACACGGGTTCCCTGCGGCTGCCGTTTTTAACACCTTACGTGTGCAAACCGAACCTGGCGTTAACCAAAAAACCCCATTCTTTTTTTACCCCGTTTGAATGGCGCTGGCCTGTCTCTGTTTACTTTATCACCACTAACGAAACTGAAATGCAAGAAAATACCCATTTCTTCTGCCTAAGAGTCATCTTGCTTGTATTTTGGGATTTTTGTTTTCGTTTTCATAGGATACCGATTGCTCTCCAGCCCGGACCTGGTCTCTGAGCTCCACGTAGTCACCTGTCTTCTCTGCATCTTGGCTGGGTACGGAAACTCTGTACTGTCCCCAGACATCATGAACTTTGTCTAAAGCAGTTAGCATCTGAGGGCGGTTCAGGCAAATGTTTTCTTTTTAAAAATACTATGAATGAGGGGCGCCTGGGTGGCGCAGTTGGTTAAGCGTCCGACTTCAGCCAGGTCACGATCTCGCGGTCCGTGAGTTCGAGCCCCGCGTCAGGCTCTGGGCTGATGGCTCAGAGCCTGGAGCCTGTTTCCGATTCTGTGTCTCCCTCTCTCTCTGCCCCTCCCCCGTTCATGCTCTGTCTCTCTCTGTCCCAAAAATAAATAAACGTTGAAAAAAAAATTAAAAAAAAAAAAAACTATGAATGAATGAGTGAATTATTTTTTGAAAAGTACATATAAAATTCCCTTTACTAAATGAAAACCGACAATTCCTTCCTCCTCCCCGCCTCCCCCCCCCAACCCCCAGCAGGCCGCATATACTCTGTGCCCGTGCTGACGGGTCCACACAGCTCCCAGCCTCCCCGGCTTTGAGGTGCCCGGAGGCACACGGAGCTGGAAGGGAAGCTAAGGTCAAGTCTCATGAGGGCCTCTCTCTGACAGGCTGTCTTTATCTGATCAAAACAACCAGCTGACTAGTAGGGGGGAAATGCATCGGAATAGGCTGGTTTATGCTACATGATGCTGGGTCACCAGCCTGATGGATTTTCTCCCCCGCAGGACCTAACAGGCTGCTCTGAGCAGTAGGTACAACCAGGCTCTCTCCCAGAAGAAGGCTCTGTTGGGACAAGTGGTCCAATCCTATTGCCATCTGGGCGTTTGTACGGGTATGTGTACGGGTATGCGTACATAGGAGTGTGCAAAGAGTTGAAGCCTGTCATTTCCCTCCTGGTGGCATGTGAGACATCTGTGAAGCTCTGAACAGTCCTGCTGTCAGGTGCTTAGAGGAGAAAGACTGTGTGACTCTGGGCCTCAGTTTCCCCAACTGTTCAAGGCTAATCTGATCTCGGGAGTCCCTCAGACAGCGGGGAGTACTTGCTGGGCCCAGCCCCAAGCGAGGCACCACCAGTCTTGTCACTGGCTCAGCAGTTAACGCTTTTAGACCACACATCAGAGACTGCTACTGAGTATCTGCTGAAATCCCTCGCTTAAAAAGAAAAGGCGCAAACCACACCCCAAAATTTCTGTACACAGCCAGGGATCTTCCTGGACCTGGCACGAAAACCCCTCGTGCATCTGGAGATAACACTAATACACAGGAACAGCGTGCAGCCCAGCCCGCAGTGCCGGCAGCCGGAAGTCGGCCTCACGCTCTCGCCCGGCCGACGCTTCTGGAAAAGCGCAGGACACCTGCCCCGCCAGCTGTGGGACGTGGCGCGTCAGACTGGGAAGGAGGTTTCTGACCTTCTCCCAGGAGTACGCAGCCCCTCCATCCCAGCCACACGCCCTCTAGCACAGTCAACTGGGACTCCCCTTCCACCCTACCAGTAAGGATCTTTCTGGGCTTTTCCAACAAAAGCTTAAGAGAACAGAGTACAAATTTATCAAGCACGGACGAAGGATGTCAGGCCAAAAAGGGAACAGACAGGCACAGGCGTAATCACAGAGGCTTGCTGGAAAACTAAGTCCGGGGTTGGGCACGGAGACCCCCGCGGCCAGAGGCCGGCTCCTGGCACTGTGCTCGGCTCTGCACCTGCCCACAGCACTTTTCAGTTTGTCCTGCCCCTCAGTACCCGCATCGGCCTCCTCTTCCCCACTAGACTGTGGGGACCCTGCTGTTGCCCCCTCTGCCACCCCAGTGTGTGTGCTGTAGACACTAATAATTGTTTGTTGAATACATGACTCCAAGTGGCTAAGTGTGTTCATGATTGTGAGCCCGTGGGAACATTCCGTTTACAACCCCGCTCCATTTATCCCGAGAGGGCGAGTGGCTGCCAAACCAAAGCATCTGTTACGGATTACCAACACTGTTCTTGGTCTCATGACGCCCGGGATCGGAGGGCCGGGAAGCCGCGACTCTGAGCTGGGCCCACAGCGCTCAGTGCCCGGGAGGCGGCCGCGTCCGCAGGGGCCCCCTGGCCTCACCCCGCTGCCCGCCCAGGCTGGGGAGACAGAAGGCTGCCCTGGGCAAGTGCGCGCTGCCCTCCCCAGCTCCTCGTGAGAGTCAGCTGAGGATCACTTCTGCAAAGACACGATCCCCCCCTCCCTGTCCCCTCCTGCTCAGCCCGGTGCCCTGACTCGGCCGCCGCCCCCTGCAGACAGAACAACTCATCGCACAGTCTGACTCTGTCTCCCCAGCGGGCCTGGGAACCGGGTCTGCCTGGGGCCGAGGGCAGGTCATCTGGCACTAACACCCAGGCAGGACAGCCGGACAGCCCGTGCGGGGAGCCAGGGTGAGCGATGCCCCTACTGGGAACTCTTTCTTCACCTCTCAGGTTAGGCACCTGATAAGCACCTGTGAACAGGGGCGGGGCTGATGCGAGCTGCCATGAGCTGCCATGAACGTGCCCACTGCCCACCCCCTCTGCTCTCCCATCAGGCTCTTGCCTGCCCTGCTTCCCCCATTTTCTCAGCACTTGCTCACGCCCCAGGCCCCCTCGGAACCTGGCTTCTGTCCCTGATGTGCACTCAGAACCCTCATCTCCCGTCTCGAACAAACATGCCACCATGTCCGTATTTCTGAAAATCTCTCCCGCCTCTGCCTCTTTCTACTCTTCGGCTCCCATTTCTCTCTGGGGGCCCCTTGCGGCCCCCCTTGCGCGAGGTTTTGTCTTTGCCGCTTATACGAGGGGTGCTTAAACGGGGGGGGGGCACAGAAAGGCTTACTGAGCCTAAGGACTCCCTGAAATTATTTGCAAAAGTGAGCGTGAGCTTTTTCTGAAGTAGGCTTTTACCGTGTCCTCAAGGGGTCTTTGCTCCAAAACAGATTTTTAAAACCACTATAAATCGTGGTGCTCCCCAGGGTGAACCACGTAGAACTTCTCTTCTCACTCTGTGCCCGCGGTTCTCAACACTGTGTGCCTGGAGTCAGAGAATGTGCTTATTAAAATACAAATTCTGAGACCCCTCCTGGGGAAATCCTTGGAGCAGCAGCTGGAGCCCTCCAGCACTGGAGCACGGGAGTCGTGACTGTTACCACGTAAAATCCCTGCCCTCGGCAGGCAGGTGACCCTTGCTTCACGTTCTGCTCCTTGCCGTCCTGGTCATGACCCACCGACCCCATTCTCTGTGGCCTCTCTGATCTTGCTCATGCAGGCCCCCTGCCCGGGGACGCCTTTTCCGGCCTAGGTTACCAGTAATGTCTACTCACCCGCAACTGCTACTCACGCTGCTCTCTCTAGAAAGCTCCCCTCGGAGCCCCAGGCCAAGTTAGATGGCCCTTCTCCGGACCCTGCTAGCATATGCTGCGCCTCGGCGTGTGACAGCTCTCGCGGCAGGGGACCGGCAATCTACCTCAGGTCCCTCTGCTGGGCACAGGGTCCTCGGGGACCACCACCTCAAGACAGGCTTCCCTGTGGGGTGGTCAGAGGCTGAGGCCAGAGTTCCTGTCCCACCGGTTTGTCTTCGGAGTCCCGAGACAACAGGGCCAACTCTTCGCCGGTCCCGGGGGCCCTCCCCCCTGGCTGTCCTGGAACTGGACTGCCCGCACCGTGCCTGGCAGAGACCAGGCCGGGGGCAAGGCCGGGCCTGGCAGCAAAAGCATCCTCCTGACGCCGGGTCACTTAAAATGACTCTCTGGTATCATTCAAGAAATTAAAGAAGGCGTTTCCTCTTCCTCGGGGTGCCTTCCCTCCTACGTCCACAGGTCTACGTCTCACCCCTTCTCAAAGCTCAGGTCAGGAGTCACTGCCTTCAGCCAACCTCTGGTTCTCAGAACATTCATTCCCACTCCCTTCATAACTACCAGGGGAAAGGCACACCGCGAGGTTCCGGGGTTGAATGGGACGAACGGGATGTGTCCTGCCCTTAAGGACACTGTAACCTAGCAGGAAACACACTCAGTTACCAGATGGGTACACGCTAGGGCCATCACAGGGAGAACACGGGGCTCCGTGGGAGTGATTCTCTTCTGTAAGACGGAGCTAATACAGCCCAGGTCTTCTTCTAGGTGAACAGCTCAGGACCCGGTGTGAGCCACCAGCTCCCACCACCCCCCGCCCTCAGCGTGGCACGGCTCAGCAGGGGCTGAGTGAATTAATGTGAGGAGGGGGAACGGGGGAGGCCAGAGAGAAGTGGCCATAAATACATGTTCCCAAAGCCAAGCAGAAGCAGAGCCAGACTCTGAGGCGGCTTGTAACGTCCTGCCTTGTTTACTTTCAACACACAAGCAACGAAAGCGAACTTGAAAAAGCAGGCTGAGAATCACCAGGGAGGAAGCCCTTCAGCTGGCAGCAGGGGAGGGCGCAGCCCACATTAACCTGTCTGGGCGCCCCAGCACAGAGAAATACGTGCTCGGCTCCCCCCCAGCGCCAAGGCAAGGGGGCCGTAGGGAGGGGGCCGTCCTCTCCTTCGCCACACCCGACTCTCTGAAGCGTGAAGCACACCTCCTACATGATGTCATGAAATACTCAACCCTCACGGGCAAGTGATTACATTTATCCCTGTGTTACATTAAGTGACTTGTCCAGAGTCACCGGGGAAGGGGAAGTGGGGGGGGGGGGGCAGACACCGCTAGCTGGGACCCTGCCTTCCTCCTTCCTCTGGAGGCCTCTGCCTCTGGCTTCTTGGGCCTCACTCCCTCCGTGTCCCCACTCACCTTTCAATTCCCCCTCCACACACACATGCAGCACCCCCTCGCCCCTAGGCTGCCCTGCGGTCTCCCCGGGGCCCTCCCCTCCGTTCCACGCCAGCCGCTCTCTGCAGAGCCACTGGTGGCGTTCCAGGGCACCAGAGGGGACAGACTCACCCTCGTTCTTGTCCTCTTAGCCCCCTTGCCGCAACTCTCCCTTGGCTCTTCTGGTGGTGCTATGGCTCAGTTCATCTCCGGACTGCCCCTTTTCTGACCAGTCTTCCCCAGTGAACAGGGGCAGAGGGAACGTCTGGAAAAGGCCGGGTGGCTGGTGGCAGCCAGGAACCAGAGGTGCACCAAAACACGGGCCAGGGACATCCAACCAACACCGTCCCTCGTGGAGACCGTATGGGGAGGCGGAGGGGGCACGGCATCAGAGTCTGCCCAGGCCTGGTCTGTCATCCGCTAGCCGCATGGCCTTGGGGAAGCACGTGCCTGGCTGTGCAAAATAAGGGAAATGATCCTTCTCGACTAGGTTTCAGGGTGGCTGGGACTCGGCGAAGTCTGAGGAGATTAACAGGAGCGTGGTTTACTGCCATGATTAGCCGCCAAGCCACCATCTCGAGCAAGGAACGTTGGCTCAGGTCACAGCAGGTCTGCGTGAGCCGAGATCAGGTGGAATCAGGACGAAGCGCTCCTG